TTGCGGCTTTTCCTTAATAAACGAGCGTCCGTGCATGCATTGGAAAACAAACGAACGGAACGCGCACCGTCGTCGTCACGTTTTAGCAATCGGAGACAACAAACAGGGCGCCAACACGTACACACATACAATGGCTCGTGGGAGAAAGACAAGCGCGATTAACCAATCTTTAAGAAAGAGAGAGAGAGAGAGAGAGTTGAGCGGGAATCGTTGTGTACACCGTGTTTTTCCGTACGCGCGCGCGAAGGCTAATTCGAAAGGTGGTAAACCAATGATCGCTGTGACAGCTTTCGTCGCGATGATCGCGCGCACAAGCGGCGCAAGTCTTCATCGGGCGATGACGTTCCATGCGTTGCAAGTTACAGACGCCGGAGCGGACGATGCGAGAACAATAGGAGGAAAAAAACAGGAATACGTCGATGGATGAATTATGACGGCGCTGAAGGATGAACGAACTCCAGATGCGCCGTGGTTGCGCCGCGTGGCGGGGCTTTTGTGTTTCATTACAAACGATACGTCAGTGAGAGCCACCGCCGACGCAAAAGGCTTTTATGCCGCTCGCGCGCGCGGCGCGTTATTGATGCGCTACATTGTCCGCAAGCTGACTCGGGGGCTGCTTTTGATGGACGCCTGCGATGCTCGATCTTTCTTTCTCTCTCCTCGTCTGATATATACCTGCGCGTGAGGCGTCTTGTAAGGGATCTGTTGCTTCTGATGTGTATGTGTATGTATTGTTCGCATGCTCCAGCAATACTCGCGTAATGAATATACACCTCTTGGCACCGGCTACATCATCTTTCATCGTATCAGTTTTGCTTTTCTTAACTAGGACAAATAATTCATCCCTCAATTGAGATCCATCTATGAAAAATGGATTAATATCGACTTATATTTCAAGGATTAAAAATCTTTTTTCTTTTTTTTTATTTATTCAGCCAAAGCAATATATATTACTTACATTTTATATATATATACACACACGTTACGCATACATGCAATATCTTATGTAAAATAAAACAATTTTCTGTCTTTCCTGTGCTCTAACAGTATGTCACTACTAGGTCAAGATCGGCGTATTAATTGCACGGTTATCCGTCTATCTTTCTTCACCAGTATCAGATGAGCATCGATCTTGCAGTTGTATGCCATCCCACAAGTGCTTTTTTATCTCTTGCGAAAATTATTCTCTCTATTGTGTTTAGTCTGGCTGAACATGTGAGCCCTATTGCACATGTACGCGTAACTCTAAAGTGAAGAAACATCGTTTGATGTTGTAATATTGAGTCGCATTTGCAAAGGGCACCAGGTCTTTGTGCTTCAGTTGTTGTTTTGTTAAATACATTGAATTGGTGGAAATTCGTTTAGCTCCAAGTTCTTTATAAAAATTGGGTATTGCTTGGTTATTACCTAAATAGTTGATGTCACCGTAGGGCATACAAATACTTTGTGATTAAAGTATTGGTTTTCCAAGAGCAGCCCCTGCATTAGCTGGGGTTATTCTCTAGTTGTTGCCTTCTGCTATCTTGTCTATTCTATTGAAAACTGTTTTAATAAATTTATTGTTTGTGTTTATTGTTTCCTTTCTTGGACTCTATGTTTGTGATAAACGTTTTTATGAAGTGCACATACTTGATACCCTTATATTTCGAACTTGCTATTGGTTTTCTCATTTGTTGCGAACTTTCTTTCTTTTGCCAGAACGAGTTAGTCAGTTCGTTGGCTATACGTGTGATTGTTGATTCGGCAAGTTTTTGCATTTTTCAAGAATTTGACACTGATATCTTGTTTTCTTTTGTGCGATCCGTTTTTGCACGGTTATCCGGGAGACATCGGTCTCCGCGCGTTTCTTTTTTCACAAACGACTGAAATAATGTCGAGGACTCGCTACGACAGAGAAACAATTTGGTCGTCGAGATAAAAGATCGCTGCTGCTTGGCGCCAGCCATGAATTGCGAGATATATAATTCATGTAGGCGACGACAATCGCATGCGTTCGTTCGAGCGTTCGTTATTCGAGGGCTCCGAGTGAGTCGCGGTATTTGTGTCAGAGCGATGAGTGCAGAGAGCTGATGATCGCGTGTTCCTTTTCTTTCTGTCTCTCGACTTGTTACAATGGTTTTAGTGTATGGGCTCTTTCGTCAGCAGCTACTGTGCTATTAACACTTTTTCGTTGTGTAATTGTCATGGTTTTAATTTAGCACTTGCTGCCTCGTAACGTAATTAGTTTTACTTGGACATTAGCCAGCGTAACGAAGACAAAAGAAATAAACGATCACTTTCACGCGCGCGAGCGCGTTAGAAACAAGCGAGCAGTGAGTTTGCCGATGAATTGTTTGCGAAATATGTTCGCGCGCGAGTCCGACCGACGGTAATCGACCGAAATATTCCGCAGTTTTATAAATAAAACCCACGAGTGCGAGACAGTTGTAAAAGTTGTTTACCGCAACGTGCAAAGGAAATGTAAGAGCTTATTGCTAATTTAATATTCTCGTCAATGCATCGATTGATCATCAAGTGTATATGTTATTTCAAAACGTTATTTCAGATTTCTTTTTTTTTTATCCTGAATACATTTGACTTAAATATGCGCATAAATAAGAATACATATTTCTCTTTTTATATTACTGTTTTTTCCTTTTTCTCAACAATTCCATTAATATCATCGTCTGTGTATGTATTATGCCGGTGCATCTTGTTTATCGACGATGACATTTATTAGACATATTACGAGAGCTGACAAGGTATAAAAAACGCGTACATTAAATTGTGTCATCAATTAAGATGCTCGTAAAAATATTTGGCATCAATACACTCGCTGCGGTTTTTGCGTTCTACGAGTGTGCTAACGAACATGTGCTCTTCAAGAATAGAAATTATGCGTTTAAATTCGCAACACTACACTGAAAGACTCGTACGATAAACAACAAAGTCAGATGGAATGTGCTGTTAAAATTTGGCTATTTTACAACGACTGGAAATATTGAGCTTTATTAATAACGGACTCGACTTATTAATAACTCTCGACGCGATTGTGTATTTGTCAGAAAAATTTACAATGCCCAAGTGCACAATATCATCGATCATTCGTTCAATTATAAACATACACTAGTTGCACAAATCATCGAGCGAATTCATAATAGACCCAAGTGAGTAATTGTGCATTAAACAATGTTCGCGCAGGCTCGCAAGAGGATATATAAGCTGCTAGCGTCGGCGTGTATAGACGTAGTTTGACTGACGTGCACGAAATTCACTTCGTGTGTTGCCAAAGTGCATTGTATGTAAATGCGGAAGTAAATAATGACTTGTCGACGTCAGAAAGCATCACCGAAGCTAAGTGCGAGAGTAGACGTCTTCCCTCCAACACTTTTCCCTGCAGGCCGTTATATATATATATATATATATATATATATATATATATATATATATATATTTCACCATTGTCTAATAAAGATGCGTGTCGCGGTCGAGCTTTCTAAGTATAGCAGAACGCGTTCTTTTTTTGCGAGGAAAGAGTAATTAATTTGAATGTCATTAGCGTGGATAGCTTCGCTGCCTGTTGATCTTGTCACTAACGTCTCGGATTCCAAAGCAATAAAGTGTAGCCCGGGAGTAATAAATAGCCGAGGGTTGACCAACATGCGTTTGTGGTGGCAAACAACTTCTCTCTCTCTCTCTCTCTCTCTCTCTCTCTCTCTCTCTCTCTCTCTCTCTCTCTCTCTCTCTCTTTTTATTCGTTTCGGAAAATTCACTCGAAACAAATGATAAATCGCATACGTTCCGAAATAATACAGCGTTCGAGCTTACATAACTCAAAGGAGTCAGCTGGTAAAAACAAATCATTATTCACGCGGCTTTGTCTAAAAGAAATAAAATAAAATAAGATAAAGGCAGAACGGGGCAAAGTAGCCAGTGCCCCGGTCGTTGCAGCAGCGCCAAGCGACATCGTTACTAATTGAGATTCAGCGGGGCGCGTAATCGCTCGAAATAACACGAATTCCAATCTGAAGGAATGGCCGGGAAAAATATGGGCGTAGCCATTAATCGTCGCGGTAAAATCACCGAATATTTCACTCTGGTGCTACCGGCGGCCTCGCGCGGCCAAAAAGAAGACGAAGGAAGCGAGCGAGCCAGGATCTATATATCTATATCCTTCTCTTTCCCACCCTCCGCGAGCGAGCTGCAGATTTATGCGCCCCGCCTTGCACCGCTGATATCCGAGAACTCACGACCCGCTTCGCTCGTAATGAAAGAAATAAATTTACTTGGCGGCGGCGGCGGAGAGAACCCGACGGGGATGGGAAATTCACCGAGTGAGGCACATACAACTTTAAAGTTTCTCCGCAAAAGCCTCTCTATCTTTTCTTCGGAGAGAGAGCTTACCCGCTGTCGTGTTATTCGACACATGCGAGCTAAATTAGACCCTCGTAAACGACCTCTTAATTGCTTTTCCTATGTAGACCTCCTTTTGCCTCTTCATAGCCGCGCTTCGATGCGTTTTTCTTCTTCCTCTTGCTTGTTTCTCGTTTCAGCTATTTAGCAGATGATTCTTGACGATGAATTTACCGTAGCCTATCAATTTTAAGGGAACAGATTTTTTGTCTTTCCGAGCTTTGCCTATTGCATAGGTCCAATGGCAATCGAGCATTTAGAAAAGATAGCAAAAAAAAAAAAATACTTTTTTAACCAACTGCTGTTGTGAATGCATTAAATTAAATTAGTTCTTCAAAAGTAAATATGCAATAAAACACTCACTGATAAAATGGAACATATTTGTCGTTACTCAATGAAAATATAATTTATTTTTTCAAATGTTTCAAGCGAAAATAATAATTTTTCATAAAATAACTTGCGTAAGGTCGCGGGTAATTCTTACGCTTTACATTAAAACTGTAGTCATTTCGACAAATTTGTGCAGTGGATTATAGTGGAAGGACAAGGTTTTAAGGCATGTCGGATATAAATTTTAATAAGAGAAAAGTTGAAGATAATTATGACTCTACAAACGTGTTTTTATTAAAGCGGTATGGAAACTCAACGATATTTACAGATCGTATTTACAAGTGCTCGTGACAATAATAATTAAGTTTAATATTAAAAAAAAAGAACAGAGGAGAAAAAAGAAAGTCGAGAAAGAAAAAAAAAATCGTCGTCGCAATAGTTGTTAACATAATCAATGCAGTCGTATTTAAATTTGCTTCGCAACGATCCTTTCTACTCTCATATTCTCTCTCTCACACACACATACACACACGCACACACTCAAAGAAACTTTCTTTTCCTCGCTCTTGCACATCTCATGAAACCAATCGCACGTACGCGCGATGATAAATAATAAATAATGACGGTATAAATAGGACATTGGCGACCTTTGGTCGGGCGTTCGTCACACATTCGCGCACACTCATTCCGTCAATTTTATTCCGTCCTGGGAAATTTTGCGGGTACGTAATATCACAGTCACATTCGGAAAAACGAATCGGTGAGAGAGACGACGAGACGACGCGCGTTGATCCTCGTCATATATATTTCCACGCACTTTAACCCGAGCACACTCTGTACCCGATGTCATCATCATCATGATCGTTGGGTCTATCATCAGCGATGCACTGCACACTGGATTAAGGATGCACGGCAGCGCCAAGTCTCTGGCCGTAGATAGTGTAGGGCGAGTAGTAAGGGCCGAGGGCGTTGAACGCGCTGTAAGGTGAGGCGGCGATCGAGGCCGGCAGCGGCGCCGTGGGCGGCTTGCCGTAGGGGTGGTATCTGGCGCTGAGCGGACTGAGCGACGGCGCCGGGTAGCCGCGCGGCGACAGCAGCGGGTGCAGCGCCTCGGCGCCGAGGCTCGTGTGGCTGCGCAGGTGCTGGAGGAGCTCGTCGGAGGTGGCGAACCTCTTGCCGCAGTAGGAGTCGCCGGCGACCCAGCTGCACACGTGCGGCTTGCCGGCGGCCGCGGCCGCCGCGGCCACCGCGGCGGGCAGCGGCGCCGCGTAGCCGGCCAGCGCCGGTGGCGCCATGGGCCCCAGCGACGACAGGCTCATCAGCCCGTACTTCTGGTGGTCGCACTGCGTGCAGCCGCTCGGGCAGGCGGCGGCCGCCGGCGCGCCCATGAGGTTGTGCACGCTGTACTGGCAGCCGTTGCAGAACGGGTCCTTGCACACGGACACGGGCACGAGCGTCTCGCCGCCCGACGCCGTCTTCACCCTGGCGTAGTTGAGGTACGGGTTGTTGGCGGCCGTGTAGCCGAGCAGCGCGGCGGCGTGGTGGTGCGAGAAGGGCGGCGCGCCGGCGAACGGGGGTCTGAAGGCCGGGTTCTCGGCCACGCTCGGCGGACAGCACAGCGCGCTCGCGGCGGCGAACGGCAGGCCGCCCGGCTTGTACATGCTCGCCGCGTCCTTGTGGCCCGACAGGATCTCCATGCCCGAGCGGATGATGGGACTGGCGCCGCCGCTGTTCTTCGGCGACGCGCTCGACTTGTCGCGCTCCTGCGCGGGCGTCTTGCGCTCGCTGCTGCTGCCGCTCGGGCTCTTGCTGCTGCTGCCGCCGCCGCCGCCGCTGCTGCTGTTGCTGCTGCTGCTGCTGTTGCACGGGCTCGTTTGCGTGGGCGACGCCGACTTGCGCCCGACCGGCGTGCTGCGGTGGCTCGACCGCTTGTGGGTGTTGTTGTTGGTGTCGTCACTGGCACTCGCACTGTCGGCGACACCACTTGCACTGTGCACACTGCTCGCTTTAGAAGCGGGTCGCGATTCCTCGCTGCTGCGCTTCGACACTACGTTCGTCTCGTACGGCTTGAACGCCAGTAGCGACGAGGACGACAGCGACGACGACGAGGACGACGACGTGGAGTTGGACTTGCTGCCGCCGTCGGACGGACTATTGCGCGAGCGCTCGAGTTTCGCCGTCGGCGGTGAGCGCGCGCTCGACGCCGTTGAGGAGCCCTTGCCGGACTTGTCCAACGACGAGATCAGTGGCTTCGTCGGCGAGTCCGCGCCGATCTGGCTGCAGGTCTGGGCTAGCAATGCCAAGGGACTCTTCTTCGCGTCCAACTGCAATGAGACAGGAGGACACGCTACGTTAGATTTTCGAATTGCAACTTGTCTCTTTGAGCTCAAAGGAGACGCACAACTGGAAAATGAATTCGCGGATAAAAGCCAAACGAAGAGTACTGACCGTAGTTGGAAGCGGAGAAAGATAGTCCGGCTGCAGGTACTGATTTGGTCCGGTGGTCAGCATACTGCCCTCTTCGACCACAACCATTTGGTTTTTATTCACACTTGAATGTTGAAGAAAGCACAGCACCACAAAAATAATAGGCACTCGACAGTGCAGAGCGAAATGAAACACGGCAGTTCAACTATCGTGTTAGTTGTGTCTCGCTCGAGGTACACGATAACGCACTGGGGATCGATGCGAGAAAGGGAGAGAGCGGCGTTCAAGTGCCGACCGTGATGAGACGACGCGCACCGCTCGAGATCCGGAGGAACAGTGATCGTGGCAGCGCGCCGTGGATGCAGGTTGGACGCGACTGAGCTGCGGCTCTCGCCAGCGCCACCTACAGGCCATCCCCTCCTGGCGGCTTCCCCGGTCCACGGAAGGTCGACGGCGGCGGCGGCGGCGGCGGCGGCGAGGAGAGCGGAGCGAAAGTGGGGAGGCATTCTAATTCAACACGCCACCCATGACGCTGGCTCGACGATGACAGCTCCCATCCCGGCTTTGATATTTCAGCGCCCTCGGCAACCCGATATTTTATGCCCGTGAAACCTGCCTCGCAGCCGCCGCCTGTGAAAGGGCCCCGCACGCTTAATAAGCAGCCTTCAAAATAGAAATGTAATGGGCCGGGGCTGGCTGGCTGCCTCTCGCTCGCGACCGAAGCAACGCTCGAGCGCCCAGAGGCTGATTGATTGCCCGTCCAAGCAACTTACCGAGTGCCGCGGCCCGCTCGCGCTCTCCTACGAATGACAGCCACTTAAGCGCCCGTGTTTGCCTACAATTTCAACCGAGCGTTTTAATTATCGCCCCGCCAACGGCCCCACCAACGGCCTCGCCCAATCGCCCAGAGTGACGAGACGCTTTTTCCTTCTGTTTCGGCTGCCGCTGCCGAACGATCGCTCCGCTGAATGCCCCGGACAACGTGCCAATTATCGGCCCGATGTGCCGTATGAATGGATAGTCGATCGTCGCTCATACAAATTGCTCGTCCGCCGGCAAGCTTCTTTATCGCTCTCCACTGCAGTAATTATTGATAAGCTCGTCTACGTGAATTTATCGTTGCAAGTGCGTTGCACTTGCGCTTAATGAGTCTATTTAAAGTAAGATTAAGGCGATTGTTGTGAAAAGCTGGCAAATATTTGTCGATATCACGCTTCATTTATCAAATGGCAATCTATTAGTTGGAAACATTCAGGCCACAAACTTGAGCAATGTGGCTCAATCGAGCTCCGAAATTGCTTGTCAAGATCATATAAGAAGCATCTCGTCGGCAGTGTTGAGCAACCAAGGAAATCGAGCAAAAGAAACTTTAAATAAATAGTCATTTAATGTTATTAAAGGCACTTCACCTTATTACAACTCACTCGGTTATAAAGTCGCCTCGTGCACGACGGAGAAGAAAGCAACGACGAGCAGAACCTCGGGGCTTGTTGTTCTTGGTATCGCTAATTCATTCTCGCGAAAAGAGAGTCCGCGAGCATCAATTAAATCTCGCGAGCCGCGCCGAGCGAGAAATCTTTTTTGATTACGCCCAATTATCGGCCAGCTCCTTTCTCACCCTCTCTCTCTCTCTCTCTCTCTCTCTCTCTCTCTCTCTCTCTCTCTCTCTCTCTCTCTCTCTCTCTCTCTCTCTCTGTCGTGCGCGGTTATCTTCAAAAGAGCTTCGCAGCCTCCTCAGTGTTCGTCCTCGTCGAGACCTTTTGCTTCGATGGCTACCGGGCTTTTTCGATACTTCGTAGAGATTAGCCAGAAGTCGAGCCTCTTAATTTCCTTACCTTTCTTCTTGTCCCCCCCCGTCTCTCGCTCGATCGCACGCGCAAAGCAGACTTATATCTCGACATACATGAGCCCCTCGAACTGCGCCAGTAGATAAGCCCCAAGAGATATAAATTCGCGGTGACGCGTATAATTCATCGTTGCCTTGTACGGACGGTGGTTAATTTTCATTTATTTTTTCATCTTTCTTTTATAATTTTGAGAATCATTTTCATCGACACGCGCGATACATTCACTTTAAAAAATTTTAATTGTACCCTGAGTTGGATATCTTCTATCTCACACATGCCCTGGAATTTGACTTTCTTTTTTTCATTCTGTCCCAGTGCTTTCGTTCAAACAAGTCGACCAGCAGCAGCAAGGTCTTGCCACCCGTAACCGTGAGAGGTTGTTATTTGAATCGTTCCGTCATCCTTCCTGTCAGTGCCAGAGGAAAGAGAGAGGGAGGGAGAGAGAGAGAGAGAGAGAGAGAGAGAGAGAGAACGGTCGGACGGCGCCGCTAACGACCTAACACCGAGGAAGCTGCGCTCACGTCTCGACGCTGACGGATGAGTTTACAGCTAATGTAGCTGGTCCTTTGAAGTACACCGCTCTCTTGGATCTTCTTCATCTCTCCCTCTCTTCTGCTGAATCTGCCAAGCTGCCTTCCTCGCAAGATTGCACATCGCCAGGGTCTTGCTTTCTTGGCTTTAAAGCTTTGTTTTATACATTTTGTTTGTTGCATCTTATCCAGTCGGCAACCCCGGACGGAATGTTTACCAACTTACCAACTCATGCTATAGTGCGAATCACCACACCATTAACTATTACCAATGCCCTGTAGGTTACAATTTACATCTGAAATAAAAATTTTCTTTTATCTATCTAAAGTCTGAGATTTTAGTCGAACCTATTAAGTTGTCCACCTCTACAAGTCAAGTATATTCATTTTGTTTGTACCCCAATAATGCGCAGTGGCTCTTGAGAAAAAAATATTCTATACATTGTATTTTAAATGTCTATCTTGAATGTTATATAGTATTTCAGTCTCTAATCTACTTTCTATAACTTAATTTAATTTTACATCTTATCTAATTTTATTATCAACTACATTGCAGTCAGGAAGATTTGACGAGCGTCATTCGTTTATGATGAGCTGGTTAATAAAACGTGTTCACCATTTCGTTTTCATTCGGGATGAATAATTGTAGATTCGACAATGAGCTATTGTATAATACCTTAATAGTTGAATAGCTCGAGGGTGAATCGGCCACATAGAAGAGGTGGGTCACTTGATGTTCTTGCCGTCATCTCATCAATCATCATCGAAGAAATTTATTTAGCAAGCAATATTCTAAACATTCGTAGCCGAAAGAAAAAATGTATCGCGAGAAAATCTCCGCATTAAATGAGTTTTCGCAACTCACGATGCCCATCTAGAGCCGAGAAGAAAAGAAGAAAAAAAGCTTATTTCCAACGAAGTCTCGCGTTGTCGCGACAACAATAACGCGTTACACAAAGTCGGCGATGTCGTCCGTAGAGCATAGCAAAACAGGGCTAAAGCCTCTTTTCTCAATCCGGCTTTTTGCGCTCGGCTGAGCATTCGAGGCATTTGGCAGGGCGTAAACACGCGCACGCATACACGCACATGGGGGCCACGGCGGAGAATGCGCGCTAGCTGGAAAAGCTCACGCGATGAAAATTGATTGTTCCCGCGTTCTTCATTGAATTTTTCAGGCCGGTTGGCGCTATCGAATGTAGAAATAACGAGGCCGTGTCGCTACCGCCTGCAGCGGACCAAAAGAATGGAGAGCGAGAGAGAGAGAGAGAGAAAAGGCCGGACGACCGAAGTTGTGTGTCGGCTGATTTATTTCGGCACGACTTGTTTTCTAACCGAGGAACACGCCGACGAAAAAATTGCTTGGCATTAGTCATCTCTCACTCTCAAGAGAGAGAGAAAGAGAAGTCAGAGAACAGAAGTGCCAGCGGAAAAACGTATTAATCTATTCTCTCTCTCTCTCTCAGGCGCGCGATTGCAATAAAATCAATTGTGTTAATGGAACGAATCTCGTACATTTTTTTTCGCCTCCCAAGGGAGATGATTGATGAGAAGCGCCAAGCGAATTTCACGCTGCGACAGGCGGTTTTTTTTGTTTCGAGGGAATTTCGCGTTAAATGAAGTGTTTACTGCTGACTAATCAAAAGACCATACAATATTTCTCGTACGCTGCATATAGAGATTCGTGGAGCAGAGGCGAGATTTCACAGCAGCAACGTCGAAAATAAAAATACACGGTGTGTGTGTGTGTGTGCGCGCGCGCGCGCGCAGAGGGATAAAAGGAGCCGCGTTTGCGCGCGCTAAAAGCCTCCCACGACTGCTGCAGTAAATCTTGGTTAGTGCAGTTCGACGGAAGTTATAAACGACCAAGCGCTGTACACACATACACGCGCGCGCGCACACACACGTACGTGGGCCTTTTGTGTATTTCGCTCGGCACGTGCGTGCGCGAACGAAAGTTTTTCTTTTTTTTTTTCGGTAATTGGTGTATACACAAAAACATGGACGACTCGACAAAGCAAGTAGATAATATTGCCAGCGGGCGAGGAACTGAAAATATTACGAATGAATGGAAAAGACATGGATTCATAAATCGTAGAATTAGGGCTGTACCCGCATTACGACGGCGTTAGTAAAAGTCCAGCAGGCGATCTGAAACCGACGTCGAAAGAAAGTCAATTTACAACCGTGGCGCGGCTGTCGGAAATCACTCCCGTTTGGTTTGACGAGAGACCCCCTGGTATTATAAAAGTGAGCGTTGCGCGTGAGCGCTGTTGTGACGAGGTAATAATTTTCGCTGCGAGCCGCCGCTTGAAAAATGACACAGCGAGCGTTCCGGCCAGGTGGAAAAGAAAGAAAAAAAAAATCGTCGAGTGTCGGAAAGCTCGCTGATTTTGCGGGCTTGCGCACCTTTATTAGTGAGTGGATTCGCTCGGTCTCGAAATCTACTCGGTGCTGCGTTTATGATTTAAGACAAGGCTATTTCGAGGTTTTACTGCCACTGCGCCACAGCTGCTCGTAATGGATGCCTTTTCGAGCTGCATAAAGAAGCAATTGGCGAATCTCGGAGCTCTAAACACTGCGTCGCGATGATTGATTGCAGGCCTGAAGCGCGTGCGAATTTATTGGCCGGCGATGAAAGTCGGAAAAAATACCGGTAATTAGCCGTCGAGGTTTCCCTTAAACGGAAGACCAACTAACTCGACGGGGTTTACGAGCGGAGTATATACGAGTATATCATTCGGCTTGCAGGTCTTTCTAAAATGCGGAAAGTCCGTTTGTCGCTGCACAGTCGAAGTTTACGAGCGCATCCGGAAAAACACAAAGCTAATCGTAAAAAGGCGTTTCGAATGCGCATATCCGACGAGCCGCAGAGCGAGGCGGAATAAAAAGATGGCCGCTACAATTCCGCGGGAGAAAATAAAAGAAGCGGCGAGGGGGTAAGGATTTATAGCCTCGCGCGCGAGTTGGCGTTATAAGCAGGTAA